AGAAATAAAAAATAATTTGTGCGAAGTTTATGGGGAGAAAATGAACATGTTTAAATTGGTTGAAAAAGTTTAAAGGTGGTAATTTTAATTACCACGATAATAAATCTTGTTCAGAACGGACTTCTGACGATTGTTGACAAAGAATTACAGACTCTTGAATTTAATATGAAAACTGTTCAATAGTATAAAGAACAATTGTATCGTTTGAATAATGCATTAAACAAATAAACGATCTGCTTGTTCCACGAAACGATAAAAAACTATTATCTTCCATGAGGATACAAAACCGCATGTTGCAATTAAAAAAAAAAACTTCTTAATCTATAATGGAAAACCCTACCACACTCAGCTTACTCTCCAAACAGCAAACAATTAAATTTTCATCTATTCCGATCAATGTAACATGATCTCTTTCGGATTACAAAAAATCTTTTTTCAAAGAATAGAAAGAGGTGAGAACGAATATACAATAATTATTCGCGTTTATTTTATTTTCATTTTACAAGTAATCTGATCGTTTAAATCAATAAAAAAAACTCTATCTCGTGATTAGATAAATTTCGTTTGAAAGATCTTAACATATTTTCTGTTTCCGTATTTATAATAGTTACACTGTGTAGGAAATTATTGAAAACAAATCGAAAAATATTTAGTTTATAGTTGGTATATATTAAATTTCTATTTCATAATAACTAGTTTAATCTATAAAATAAAATTCTTATTATATCCTTTTTAAAAAAAAATGTATAATTATCTCGTGAAAAATGTAATTATTTATTTCACGAATATAACTGATTTATACTATTTATCGTCAACATTTTATATATAATATATAGGATGTGTCAACTAACGTCAACTTTTAATAAATAAACTAATAATTAAATAAACTGTTCTCGGAAGAAATAAAATAATTATCGATTAATTAACATTGCTCTTATTTTATCCATTTATTATGAATCACGTTCGATTGGATTTAGTTAACTATTATTTCTCTCTCTCTCTCTCTCTCTCTCTCTCTCTCTTTGCTACACGTATTGACAAGCGACCATAGAATATCGATTTATTAACAAATGTGATTAACCTAATATTTATTAAAGCGAAACATATTATAATTTAAAATAAAATATTACATATTTTTTAAATTAAAACTCGATATATATAAATGAGATATCTTTTATAAAATTAAAAAAATTACTCTTCAATCAAAACTTTGCAAAAATTTTTAATTGACACACTAGGCCAATCATTTAAAATAAAACTTCATAAGAAAATCATTCGTGGGTTCTGTATTAAAATATACCTAATGAAAGTCAAATTACAATCTTAATTGGATACGAGTTTATTTTGACTATTTTTTACGTAACGAGATGTGTATATAAATAATAACTAAATTCTTATAAGTTTTTAACGAAAATTACAAACACAATGAATTCTTGACATTTAGAGATTGTTATTGCGAGAAAAAATTAATAAAAATTAAATATTTTTATTAAGAAGTATGATAAGTAAGCCTTTCGTATTTATAAATCTAAAAAGGGAACATTTTTGTTAACAGTTAACACAAAAATATAAATACCAAATGTTTCTAATATTTTTAAATCCTTAAAACTTTTATGAAAGCCAAAATAAAAACTGAGTTTCCATTAAAGAAAAGTAAATAGACTTGGAGAAAAAATGTCCAAAAAAAAAATATAACTACTCTATAGTACGAAACAAACATATAGTCTATTTTCAACCAAAAGTTACTAACTAACATTCATGTTAGTCAATAGTGTGTTATTATTTATCAAATTATTTTATATAGGAAAAATCAGCTTTGAAAAAAGTATACTTTTTGTCAATTTTTTTACACACTGCTCTATTGATACTTTTTATAGATTAATAGCAAGTAAATTCAACAAAAAGTAATTTTTTCATCAAAAAAGATGAAAATATCGAACACATAGACAATATTTAAAAATAATTAAAAATATTCTTATGTTCAGTATTAAATGGTTCATCCTGTAGATATATGTAATAGTCAAATAGAAAGAGAATAGTGAAGGAGAAAAAAAAAAAATGAAGAAACAAAACGAATTCTCTTCATAACTCTCGATAAAGATAGAAAACTCAGTTACATCCCTCAGGATAATAAGCAGATCTCTGGTGAATGGTGATGCGTTCTCCTGGAAATACCGTTGGACTGCTAAGTTCTATTTGCTCTCTTTCTTTTCCTTTTTCTCTTTCTGTACCGCGATTCCCAAGTCTCCGAGGGAACGAATTCCCAAGAGAAAAACGACTCGAAATAGTAAAAGAATAAGAAAGAAAAGAACGAGTAAAAATCTTAGAGAACTGAGGCATCATGAAAAAAAGAATAAAGGGGGACAAAAATAAAGAAAAAAAAATTAAAAAAAAAAATAATCGTTATACTATTAAATTATTATCGGTTTTTTTATATATATTTTTAATCAAAGTACATATTTTAAAATGAAACAAAAAACACGTTAGGTTTTTTTTCAATCAACGTATTAACTTTAACGATAATTACTCAAAATAAAAAAAAAAGAGTCTATGAATAATATGAAAAAAAAAGAAAAAGAAAAAAAGTACACGGAAATAATAATGTTCCATGTATAAGAGAGCTAAATAACTATGAGGTTTGAAAAGTTCGAGTCGGTGCATAAGTTGAATCGTAGCCTAGGATCTATGCCGAAGCGGAAGGAGATAATAAGCGAAGGAGGTAAGATCCACAGAGACGATCTTCGAAATCTCAAAGGAACTCGATCTCGAAAGGCTTTCGAGACGACGTTGAATATCTTGCGAGTATCATAGAAAGAACTGGAATGAGAATGGGATGAGAATGAAACGAGAATAGTATTCTTTATGGGAGAGAGAAAAAGAATTTGAAAAAAAAAAAAAATTATATAAAAATGTGAAAAACATAGAATAAAAGAGAGAAAGAATTTGAAAAAAAATATAAAAATGTGAAAAACATAGAGTAAAAAAGAGAGAGAGAGAGATAGATAGAACAATCTATGAAAAATTAATAATATAGACGAATATAATTTAAACAATCTTTTTTATTTATTTTTCCGCAATTTTGATACGTTTTGATACGAGTACTATATACGTAAATATTATTTCTAGTAAAGGTGAGAGAGAGGGAAGGCGAGAGAAATGATGAGAAAAAAACAGGACGGAAAAAAGGAATAAAGAAATGCAATTAAATTCTCTTAATGAAACCTTTAGAATCTTGATGAGTTTAAATACTTTTTATCCAAATTTCTGATATTTTTGCTTGCCCTTCGTTAATAATTATTACACACAAAAGATGATAATATCAGTATATAATTTAAAACATTATTTTTTTCTTATCAAACCTCCATAAATTTGATACGTTTTGATACGAATATTATATATAAATATTGTTGCTAGATAAAATGAGAAAAAGAGATGAAAGGTGAAGAAAAAAGAACAAAAAAAAAAGGGAATAAAGAAATGCAATTAAATTCATTTAATGAAACCTTTAGAATCGTTATACGTTTAAGTACTTTTTATAAAAATTTCTGATATTTGCTCTTGCCTTTCGTTTATAAATTACAATAAAACATAAATAAAGGTAATTTTGGGGAAAGTATAAAAACATATTAATCCTTTCGCTCTAATTACCAACATTGTTGCACCAACTAAAGTTGTTCTACTCCAACTGTCAGTACTACTGTCGTAACGTTGTTTCTCTTCAACCATATAAAATTCGAAGTTTAAATAATATACCTTTACTTTAATAAATTATTTGTTATTTGTTTTATTCACATTATTTCTTACACACCCGCATTGTTATTATTTTGTAATTGAAATATTTACTAATATCTGTTAATTTTATTCTATATTTTCAGTTTATGAAAATCCGTTGAAACGCGTTCAGTGATCAGTCGATAATATTTTCAAAATCGATTAGAATATACGAGCTTCTAAGAGAAATGAAGTGGAAATTTGTTTTTTCTCTCATTATTTATCGATTAATATTATCTTGAATCTATTATTGCATTAAAATAATGTCAAAACAAAATTCTGTACAAATATGAAAATTATGAAATTTTATTTATGAAATGTGTGGGATCAAACACCTTCATACCAAATATAATAGGAGAGAGGGAGGGGGTGGAGTTGATAGAGGAAGAAGGAAAGGAAGAAACTTTCGTGAGGAAGTTGACCGAGGATAGCTTAATGGATAGAACAGTTGTCCGGAAAACGAAAGTTCGAATCCGGGTCCAGTAAGTCCAGCGGCTTAATTTTTTTTCACGGATCCTATAGAGATAATGATGATAGAAAAATAATACATAGTTCACATCAATTATATGCTTGTTCGATAATAACTTTTGTCTGAATAAGAAATGATTTTTGAACACAATTGTTATACTTTGTTTCAAAATATTATAACTTATTAATTATATATGATTAAATTTTATAAATTTCTTATAGAACAAAAACCTATTTCAAGATTAACAAACCTTTAAATTGATATACATTTTATTATTAAAGAAATATAATTTTAAATTTAAAAAATAAATCTCGCTTAAGATTATTTGTACCAACGAAGGATATAATAAAAATATAATTATTATTTTTGGAATTTCTTTTAAGAAATTGGACACGTCTTTTGTAAGACTAATATTTTAATCAAATTTATAAAAATATACTTTACTTAGAATAAAATGCAACACAATGTCTGTCAATTGAAAAACTTAACAATCCTAAAATATATTTCCAAATATAATAATTATTAAATATAATATTAAAAAAATAAAATATTGTGTTTGTGTTTTAAATTGACTGTGGGTGTACAAATACAATACTTCTATGACTGATTGTAAACAGATGAAATATCTTGAATGATATTTTATTGAAAAAAAATTTAAATAAATAAATCGATTTAATTGAAATAAAATATATTTAAATAAAAATGAAATATCTTAACATTCTTAATATATAAATTTGCGTTAAAGGAATATACAACTTACCCGAGAAAGGGCCACGGCTGGGAAGCTGTCCCATGCAAGCTGAGCTTCCTCCCCAGTATTTCCATGACGTTGACCCGAAAGTATTCTCGCAGCTGTGAGAGTGCTCATGCCCATGCCGTCGCCAACAAAAAGAACGACCCCACGTGCTACGGCACTCGGTGGTGTGTTTCCACCCCCTGTTCCTGGTCCTGCCCCGTTTGAGTTCGTAGCAGCACGGATTCGTGCCTCGATCGCTCTCCTAGCTCCTTCATACCAGACTTCCCTCTCTGTTGAACAGACAGAAACCCCTTTCATCTTTCCCATCTTCTCGGTTGGATCCCTTAGAGCAAAAATACTTCATCGACTTTATGGATTACCTCGAATTTTTCGACCTTTTTCTTTTTTCTTTTCTTTTCTTTTTTTTTTCTTATCCAAACGAGGTACGATTAGATTTGGTTTTATCGGATAAAAAAAATGATCTTTTTATTGTAATTATGGTTATTAACGTTTAAGTTTAATCAAAGATCAAAATAAACGTTCCAAATTCATGATGAATAAATATTTCAATGTCATTTTAATATTTTTAAAGATAAAGATATATTATCTTTTGTTTGTATATTCATGGTAAAATAATATAAGAATAGTTTTTCTTCGAAGATGTTTTTTGAGATAGAAAATTTTAACTTTAATCGTATAATATTAAAACTGACACGAAAATTAATTTAATGAATAATTGGGAACGATAAATGATTATGAATATTTTTATTATTTTTATAATTACATATACCTATATTTCTTTGATTTCGTTATCAAAATTTGGGAAAGTGACTGATTTGTTTTATTAAATTGATAAACAAATTATTCAAGTATTATATTATTTTATATTTCAGTCTATTTTTCTAGAAACATTTTTTCTAGTCATGATATGCCATCATAAAGGGTGAAAATGGCATTACTCTGACTTTCGTTTTTATTATTATTTGTATTTTTCAATATTGTCGAATATTAAGGTCCGTAACCCTTTTGCATTCGCAAACAGAATAATCTGCACATGATATCACTGATCAACAATCGCGGAATATTCCGCAAACCACAATGTTCGCTTATCACCAACTGCGGAATAGTATGCTCTTGAAAATTTGCACTTTTTACTAAATTGAACACAATAAGCGGGAATATTCTGAGAAGTAATGAGAAATAAATAACAAATTATACGTTTTTAATTATTCATACCTTTCTTGATGTTGTTTTTTTTAATTTCATTCAATTAGTATACGTTTATTTTTATTATATTTTATTATACATTATTTCTTAACATTATTTCTAAAAATAAATAAAACTAATGATGTGCGGTAATGTGCAGAAATATATGTCGACTGACAATAAACTCCGATTATTAAAATTAGTTGCGTATTTAGAACTATAATACAAAAGTATTAAATTAATCATGGAAAGAAGTAAATTTACACAATATTATTGTATGAATTTAAATTATGGTGTAAAGTAGCAGAAATGCTCGAAATATAAAGCATTATTTTGACTAAAAGAAAACGCGTGTACTATAGCAAACATACAATTAAATATTAATTTAAAAATATTCGCAATAAAAATGAATGCCATTACATATGAGGAGATTCGACGACGTTTTTATGTACACAAAACTCATGTAAAAATAACTTAATGTATATGATCCAAATATTACTCGACATTTAAACTTTTAATTCTTTAGATTTCACAATTATATTTTTGCATGAACATTTTGTTTTGTTTTTATTTTAAAAAAAATATTAAATTAAATGAATATTAAAGTTTGTTTTCTTATGAAAATAATAATAATTAAGACACTGTTATTAGAACTAGTTGGAATCTCGATAGGCATTAAGATGTCTCTATTAAAGCTTTTAATTCTAGACACCATATTACGGATTCGGGAAGTTTACAAGGTAACCGAGAATTTGAAATGATTCGGATTGCTCTGGCTATTTTGCTTAACGTTCAATTCTAACATTGCCGGAAGCACGTAGAGTACAACTAGACGACTGTTTCCTCTTAACTATACTGGTTAAAAGCTTCGCTATTACACTTTACCTAGTACACTGTACTCACCCTAGTAGCCGCTAATGGACAAGTTTAAGTACCACACACTACCTATAACTTTCCATTGATTCTAAGTTATCAAATAAATTCTATTTCTAATGTCGATAGCTAGTCTAATGTAGCTAAGTATGTAAAAGAGAGATACCAAGTGTGTACCGATTATCTAAATCGTTTTTCAATTATTGCAGAAAACAATGGAAACATCAAATTTATATAATATTATTGATTAAAGATTATGTCAGAATTTTATCAGTCAGCTGTGATTGGCGAGTATTGCGAACAAATGGCAATTTTTACTCTAATTGATATTTATAAGTTATTATTTTAATGTGATAAATAAAATATATTCGTAAATTTCAAGATGTTTAAAATATTTCCAAGTCAAGACAAAATTATAAACGAAAAAAGAAATGTATAAATAATTATTATAAAAATACCGTATTATCTCTCTAAATGGGAACGCGAAGTAAAACAAACTCAACTAACTAGACTTAACGCTACACGTTTAATCAGAAAACATTTTCCAGATTATACAAAGTGATTCTGAGAATTAGGACAGGCTAATGCTCTATTTTAAGTACACAGTTTTTTTTAAGTAAGTTTATTTTATTAAAAAGAGGGCAATTTGAAGAAAAATACTTTTATTTCTCGATAAAAACAAATGATAAATACTAAATGTAAAATATTATTCTACTTATAAGTTTTTGTGGACAAATAAATGCTACCTTGATTACTTTAATCTTGTTTTTCTAAATTTACTTAATTATTTCAAACTTCTTTTTTTTTTGTGAAAAAAGTTAAATATTTATGTAATAATAAATATCACAAGAATCGTAATATCCTAAATGTATACTTTCACTGCTCTTCTCAAATGTCTAATCTGACTGCGTACAAGATATGAATGATATTACAAGAATGAAATATTAAATGAACTGAAGACGAGTAGCAATTCTAATAATAAATTTAAAAAAAAAAAAAATTAAAATAAAATCACATATACCTTTTATATTGGAAGAAAAGAATAAAATACCCTAAAGGAGACTCTTTGTTTAAATAACAAATAACATTTCGATCGGTTAAAAAAAAGGAAACGAAGAAGACACACATAAACACGACAAATAGTTGGAACTTCAAGTTGATCGTGAGCAAACAACGTTTGGTGAAGTTAAAAAGATTTCGACGTTTGCGTAAGAACGGGGAGAAGAAAAAAAGAAAGAAAGAAAGAAAAAAAGAAAAGGCAAACATGTTTGCTTTAGTCCTCGAAGAATGTCAAAAAATAACGAATCATCAATCTATGATGATGATGATGATAATGACGGTTCTTTTTTAACAAAACTAAAAGAACATTTAACTTTGAATTATAATTTATATATTTTATTATTTATAATAATAATAATAATAATAAAAATATCAATAATATCGGTATATTTACGCTAAATGAAATCGAATATTATCATACCAGCGAATAAATCTAAAAGCGTTGCATAATTATCGGCAGGTTCGTTTATTTGAAAATTCTCATCCGTATATTAATAACAATTATTAATATAACAGTTAAAGCAGGTTTATATACGCAAAATCATTTTGTTAGTAAGTAAATAACAGTAAATAATTGCTTTTTATAATAATCATATCTCTTCGAATTCATTAATGATAGTGGACTAATTGGAAGATATCATTCCTATTTGAATTTTTAAATGAGATAAAACGGAAATAATATTCTTAGAGAAACGCGATAATGAAGGTTCAGAATTCTTCTCGATCGAACGAATAAAATCTCTTTTTAAGGCTACTATATGGAAAATAATATTCTAGACGATTCAAGAATCGCATCGTCGCAATTGTAATTCATGCAAAATTCAAACCTTCTTCCTCTAGATTCCTTTCTCGTTTCTGAGGATTCGTACGAGGATTCGCGATTCAACCGATTTCTTTTTGCTTTTTTTTCTGTTTACTTGCTACTCCTGGTAGTAGCTTAAAAAGTAGCACGATTTTTCAGAAGAAAAAAAGAAACTAACAGGGTTTTATTCTAGAACAACTTCACTAACTTCAAACATCGATCGTTCCAATCTCCGATCCTAACGAACTTTTCCAAATAAAAACTATGGTAGCTTGTTAAAGACCCGTAAAAGACGGGGTCAAACAAAATTTTTCTATTTTATTTAATCTTATTAACTTCTTTTTTTTTGTGAAATTTTTCGAAGAAAGAACAATGACTCTCATGCGAGCTAAATTTTTTTCTCTTTTGCGGTTAATAGCGTTAAATACGCCGGGTTAATGAACGTGAGATATTAATAACTTACAATCAGCTTATTTCTTATAAGAGCAGTTTCAGATGAAAGGAGATGTAAAAAGAATGAACCGTTGAAAGACACCCGAGGGAAAGTTAAGCTTTGAATAACTCTAGAAAGTACAATACTTATCCTACCTATTCGAAGAAAGAAAGAAAGAAAGGAAGAAAGAAGAAAGAGAAAAATATATAACTTTTCCGCGAGAGATCAGATAAAAAGATATTAATAAAGAAATCTCTACTGGCGGGTCTTTCAATTTCGAATCTGTGCCGAATTTGACTAACATTTAAAAAAAAGAAAAAATGTCATTTGTCATAAGACGCGATACGAAAGAAACTTATGGAAGAAAGAAAAAAAAAAAAGAAAAATAAAAAGAAAAAAAGAATCGTTCATATCACATAAAATCCGAACGTTAAGTCCTGCGAATTTCAACAGCTATCGTGTAACACTCACATTAATTTCATCTTATCGAAAGAATTCATGGGTTTTAAAAAAAATATTCGAAAGATCTAATCCCACGAGATATTCTCACGTTGAACATTCATCTGAGGCGTTTGCTCGACAGATTAAGGTTGGCCGAATCCGCTTTACCGTCTGATCACCTAGACGTTACGATGTAACTCGCTCGATCCGACTTATTGCGCTTTGTAACCAGTTCCTACAACTGAGCGAAAACAACTTGTGACAAGTGAGCTTATGTTAGTTTATGATGAAAGCCATACTATGCTAAACAAGAAAGCGTTGGTGCAAACATTATGCAAGAACTCGTGTTTATCCGCACGTGCAACCTCTTCCTTTAATCGGTCAAATGCTGCTTGCCTCTGTTTTCCTGCATATCGTTATCACTTTTTACCCATCCTACTGTTCAAATCATTTTTCTTTCTATTATATATCATTTT